AATGTTGCCCCAAACCTCGTGTTTCGATCAATGGTAAATGATAGTCATGCTTGTTGTTTTTCAGATGTTTTTACAACGACGCGCTTTCGCACTCGTAACAACCCTTTTCTTTCAAAATCATCGTTAATTTCTTATTAACTCTTGTTTTCAACTTCTCTATCAATTACTTTCATAATATTTTTATTTTTATTTAATAGGTAATTATTACAGACAAATTAGCTTACTTGATCCTATGTGGCTAGGCCTAAGGCCTTTAAGCCATTACAATACCTACATCCTTTCACGTTCTAATCTTCAATCTAGTCTCACTCCAGACGCCGAGCCGAACGGACGTGTTTGCTACCTGCTGCAGGATGGTCTCGACAGAACTTTCATAATACAAAATGATATGGAAGGCCCTTTTCCAAATTATTGACGGCACTTTTCTACGTGTCCGCGAGTACATTTCCTTTCTAAAATATTCTTCCCTAAAATGAGCTCCCAAATCACCCAAAGACAGTTGATTGCATTATTTTACTCAATTGTACCTGTAAGAGAAAACGTATTTCACAATCCCGTGTAGTTGCGACATGTTAAAATATATTATTAGTGAGGAATTTTTATGCTTGTTAGGAAACACTGAAATAGATTGCCAAGGAGAATATTTGGAGAATAAGAAATCCCGGAGCACACGCAATTAAGGAAATAAATCAAAATGATTACATCGTATCAACACATGATCAGAATACGTGATAACATAACAGCTTATGTTGAGGTGTTTATTTAAAACAGCAGACACTTTAGAAATTTTCAGAATTGAAAATAATCGTGTGACGTCTTTAATTTTCAAAATATGCTGCAATAATAACTGGAATGCCGATCCGGTGGCCGAGATCGCTAAGGCAGTAGTACCGTAGCGATCTCGTACCGAAAAGATCGCGGGTTCGAGTCCCGCCTCGGGCTTGGTTGTGTATTTGTGATTGTCTCTTCACCTATTTCATAACATCATCCTCCATCTCTCATTATCACCTTTCTGAATAACATTCAGAATTGTAACTCGAGGATTTATCCTCACCTCAAGGTGACACACCTTCGACAGTCGACCATGAACAGTAAAAAGTGAAGTGGAACGACTCAAGTGGTCCAATGTGGCCAATCAAGTTAATAATAATAACTGGAATTTATATATAAATTTCTCTGTTACTTGCATATAATGCAATGTTACATACAGGTAATGAAATTGCACAATTCCGAGGATGAATAACTCTTTCCAGTTAACTCATTACATGAAATATATACCGGACTTATACTGTTCCTAGAAAGTGTAAAATTTTGCTCATTTTCAAAAACCAATAGGAAGTGTTGTGATGAAATTCTCCTACATCATTAGCTGTATGGATTGTTCGATAATGCGTAGGCAAATATGAATTTTTCAGTTTTAATTTTCTTGTTATTTGTTTCAAAATATTTTAGTAATTTTCTCCTCAACGTCCCAGCTATGCGTTTGAATCTCATTAGTGGCAATGCATTTCATCCGCTTTTGTGGATAGTGCCGAATGTGTCTCAGTAACCATTGTTTTCATTGAAAGTACATGTTGAAACTACAAATTTTCCATAAGTTCGCTGGATCAAACGCAGCTCAATTTCTCGGTGTTTCATGTGTCTGTAGCATGTTAATGATAACTCTAGCTAAAAGTTCCAGAAAATACATTCCTTTGCCAATTGACTGATTGATAAATTAATTGATGTTTCCGGGTTCGTCAACTGTTATGGTCGTTATCCCCGTTAGTGTAATGAATGTTTTGTTCGGAGGTGGCAGTATTCCAATCACATTATATGGTGAACTACGTCTTGCGGGAGATTCCTCCTCCAGGTATCTCACCATGAGGGGCTCCGCCCCACCCGGGACAAGCTCTTAATTCTCGACTGGTCTCCCCTACCGTGTAGTGCATGTAAGTGAATGTGTAAGTAAGGAGAGAAGATAGAACTAGGAAGAGGAAGGAAAAATTGCGTGTAGTCCATGGCCCCTTTAATAGAGTTCTTCTTTGATAGCGCATTCGACTGCTATTGGTCGGAAAAAAACGGGAAACTACCGATCAGAGCAGCCTGCCAATTGAATCCTCATCCACACGATGGCTGAATTCAACCTAGTTATCGAGAATGGTCGAATGCGCCACCGTCGGGACTCGAACCCTCGGACCTCCCAATCAGTATCCTTTTGTGATCCTATATCGGCTCATCCCAGAACAGACACATATATTTATTTACATATATAATTAAAATAAAAAATAGTCACAAACGCTCTATGGCATGTTTGGCTCGTTGCCAAAATCGCCAAATTTGTTTGCAAAATTGTTCCATTCCTTGTAATAAAATTGTTTACATCGGCGAATAAGCTACAGATTTTTATCGTCCCTCACGTGAAGAAATCGACTCACCACCACAAGGACGAGTACGATTTGTATGACATTGTTGACTACACAAATTCCCCTCCAACACCCTTTATATTTTGAGAAGACGTGCGCAGATAGTGAAGCTGCATTTAACGGATACTATTACTACATATTATTACGTTACAATCAGACCATAATATTCCTTCTCACCACAATCGTCATCTCTATGACGCTGATTGGTTGCACTTTGGGAAAATGGGCCCTAAGCACTCCAACTTGTATAAAGAGAAGTATCGTCCATTTGGGTCGCAGCAAGCGAGTTCGAGTTGTGATCGAGAAGCGCCCTCCGCCACGTCAATGGAGAGGCGGCGAGGGCGAGGGCGCGGGCAGAGGCGGGGGACGAGATGTCTCTGAAGAGCGGGGGTTCCACGAGGGTTCTCCACGCCGCGGCCTCCCGCTGTAAAAGCCCTTCTGACCCCGAGGAGAGTTGCGGCTGTTTTGCAGCATTCGCGTTCCTTTTCAAACCATTCGATAAATACAGTCGGGCGGGACGCTGAGATATCAAGACTAATGACTAGCTAGTGAATGTCTGTAAATTATTCTTTGGCGTCATTCCCTATATTATGAATAGATGTGTATTTTAGTACGAAGTGGGTGGTGCAAATTTGGCATTAGGACACTTCCATAAGAAAATCAACTTTCATTTTATTGCGTATTATTTTATACGTATGTACCAATTTCCGGAATTCGTAATATACAAAAAAGCATGAATAATATGATAAACTTGTCAAAGAACAATAGCAAGCATGTTCCATCAACATGTTTGATCAATCTTAACATGTTTTAGTACGTTCTATCCCATTTATTTATTTTTGTACATTTATACATTTTGTTATTACGAGTATTACATACGTTTTTACTTATTCATGTTTTTATTCCGCAATTTCATCTCATTTTGGTGCAATTTTATTTTTAATACTTTCAGACAAATACTATATCAAAATTGGTTTTCATGTGAATTTTGTTCACACCTCATAATGCGTAAAACTACTACACAAAACGTCGTGTTTGAGTGGTGGCACGTATACCACTGCATCGGATTCATTTGTCCAGGAACAATCAACCTCTCAGACAGCAATGAGCACGTGAACGTTTACACGGGTGTTCTGGTTGGCAAAATGTGGTGTTTTTGGAGGAGTCCCGCTTCAATTTGTGGTACAGCAATGGCCGCACACGTATTCGACGCTACCGTAGTGATCGCAATCTCCCAGCCTGCATTGTTCCGCGCCATAGCAAACGAACGCCAAGTGTGATGGTTTGGGGCGCCATTGGCTACAATGTGTGATCTCAACTCACACGTATTAAGGATAATCTGAACAACAACCGTTACATTAGAGAGGTTTAAGAGCCCAAGGTGCTGCCCAAAGGCATCAGCTGCAAGCAACTCTACATGCCATATTTCAGCAGGACAATGCTCGACCTCGTGTAGCAAGGCATGTGCAAGCTTTCTGCGATGTACCACTGCTTCCCTGGCCCGCACGTGCGCCTGGCTTGTCGCCCATCAAACATGTCTGGGATATGATCGGTCGGCTTCTTGTTCGTTCTGGTTCTACTGCCAATGCTTTCTGGACACGCATTGAAACCGCGCGGCAGTGTGTTCCCAAGCAGCATATCCAGGCTTTCTTTGAATCCATACCACCGCCACATCTAGTCTCTGTTGATAGCGCGTGGCGGCTTCACACCGTACTAAATCTTCAAGGTCCAAAAATGCAGGACGCAGCTTCGTGGAATTCTAATCCTTTGTATATAATGATATTCAGTATATGTATATATATATATATATATATATATATATATATATATATATATATATATATATATATATATATATATAATATCGAATAAATTTCATTGTAATAGTATGTCTCCTTCTTGGTGTTGCAATTTTCACAAACATCACTGTTGACTGAAGGATAATATAATCCTGAAGACTATAATTCCAAGGTCCATATTAAATACTTTTCGAAAACAATCAAATAAAAAATATTTTGTTCAAGTATTACAATAGATATTTCTGTAAAATTGATGTAATATAATAATTATTTAAATATATTATTTTCATTTCAGAATATATGCAATTGTTGAACCTTTTTATGCTTGAAAGAAGTATCCTGACCAACAGGAAGTAATATAAACGTAGGGCAGAAAGTATCCTTAAAATATTTAAGACAATTCAAGGGTTTTTTTCTTAACACAGGAAGTAATATATTTGTTAATTCATTAGTTGAAAAATTCATAGATACGTTTTGCGAATCAATGACTGATTATTTCATTCTATAATGATGATAATAATAGTAATTATTATAGTAATAATTTTATTAATATAGTAAGACACGAACCATTAGACCTCTTCCGCCTCACCACGTAATGCAAACTTTATGGATAAAAAACGGAAATGAGAATTTCTTGACAATAAGATACATTTAGTAATATTATAATACATAACTGATACACATGTTACCCCTGGGCCCCTAAAAAAGAAAAAATAACTTGCCAGCATTTGCCTTTAAAAAACCTCTTCCTAAGAGAAATGCACGGCACATCACCAGCGCGTGCCTCTGCTTACAGCACGTGCGCTTCAACTGGACCGTCTCGGTTGAAAGTGCGGTGGACTCGTCCTTCTTCTGGGGCTACTTGATCACCCAGGTCCCTGGCGGCTTCCTTGCTTCCATGTACCCCGCCAACAGGTGCGTTGCAGCCCGTCAGCGAGCAGGCCAACGGGCCGGCGAGCGATGTTTTGTGTGTTGCAAACCGACACGTAAATGAACACTTTAAGTTTCAAGTTTTAATAATACGCGCTTTGCTTTTGAAACTTTTTTTGTAATATCGAAGAAGCGTAACATCCTTACAGATATGAGAATGCGATCCATTTAATTCATTGCATATTAATTCAAATATAATGATACACTTATTGGACAGTTGACTCCTATAAAATAGATAACTTTTTTAAGGAAAGATAAAATTGTTAAAATGTTTGACAAATACGAAGTCATAACAGACAGGATACTTAAGAAATATTGCGAAAAGCTGTTGGTGAGCGAGAACATGCTGCAACGCATCATTCTCTGGCTACAACATATCTTATCTTAAAGAATAAACGATTATATTTAGGCGATAAATTGGACGATTAATATAACGAGTGATGCTAACTTTCTCTTCTCTCGTAATTGTGAAACAAATTAGTTTATTCATCTTATATTTGATTGTACGAAATTCCGTAAATTAAACATAATTTGCCAGGTATTTAAAAGAAACATTCATTATCATATATACTTCACATGTAGAAAATCTCGGTACGTAATAATTTACTTTCAACAGTACGCATCACTTAACTTGGAAAAGTTAAATTTCTGAAAATAAATTTTGAAAACGCAAATCAATATGTTAGTGGATTTATTTTTGCGAATCTAACCTAGCAAATATTTGGCATTCTAAAATATAATCCGAAAAATTGCAAATTGCAAATTCATTTATTATATTAATTGTAGAAACTGTTCTTTACAAACAAATTACAATAACACTTTTTTAAATAATTATTTTTATCATATCATTGAATGTTCCGGAAAGTGCAATCATAGCGTTCTCTATCAAATTAGAAATACCCAAAACCAATACTAAGTATGTCATCATCAATCGCCTCCTTTGAACAATGAATTCACAACAGAAAACTATATGAAGATAAGATCGACATAAATCCTATACAACTCTTTTTTTTTATTTTCTGCCAAATATGGAGTACCAGCCTAGCGCAAACTAGCTGGCACATGAATATTTCTATATAAAATCATTGTAAAAAAAGGTGAAAAAACGCAAGTACGTTTTCGCAAGTAAATGCCGTTCACAAATATGAATAATATTTTCCGCTTATAATCTCTGATCATCCACAGTGCTAGTATTTATGTTCCAGGATTTTCGGCACAGCTATAGCAATTTCCTCATTCCTTAATTTACTCGTTCCTGGAGCCACCGAGCTGTCCCCTGCAGTCGTCATCATGGTCAGAATTTGCCAGGGGCTCGTGGAGGTAAGTGTGCTGTTGTAGAAATCTGTGTTCATAATCATAAAATAACATTGAGGATGCGAAGTTTGTACTCAAGATGAAAATTTTCAAATGAAGAATCCTCGTGCTTTTTGTGGAAGTATCCTGATTACAAAGACTTTGTATACGCCTCAAATTTATATGATTCAAAATTTATTAGGCTTGTAATTGCAAGTAGTTCTCTGACGAATTATAAATATACTTTTAATTTTGTATTTGTACTTCACTCTGATTGTTCTATATTGCTGACATGGATATGTGACTATATCCGATAAGGGCGTTTTCGTCAAACAATGATTATGTTTGTTATTCAAGATTATTCAATATATCGTGCAATAATGAATACTTTGCGATAAAGAAATTACATATGTAAATTGCGCTTAAATAATCATAAACACAAAAATTCGGCATCGGTTACAATTATATACCTATTTACTTCAAATATTTTTATATTAAGAGAGAGTAAAAACACATCAAGTAATAAAATACAAAAACGGCAGGCTTCGTTGTTCCATATAACTTTCGTTTACCTTTGAACGTTTATCCATGAATTCCCTTTGCTGTTACTTTTAATAAATGATCTCTTATGTAGTTAAAAGTATGAATGGAAATTACAGTTTGCAAGTTACCAAATGTTAAACATTTAGAGAAGAAAAAATAAAGCTTCCAATATATTCCGAAATAATTTCTGATGCTATTGATTATTGTGTTGATCTTTTCGGAAGCGAAACGCCTAGATTAAATCTTTGATACAGTGTAAAATAATAGTTTGCTCTCTCCATAGTAACATTCCTGTAAGTATTAATGTCCTCAGCCGCGTCATATTAGACTCATATTTTAATACAACTTCCCTCTTCTTAAACATCAAAGTTTGCGAAATGATCGCAGCGTATCCCCCGATTTGTGAACGGAACAAAAGTTGTGATGCATGATGTCGCCAAAAAAAGTTATGCTCATGGAGCCTCTTTCCATCCACCACACGTTGCCTCTACGCCCAACCTCTGCTAGGAGGAAGACTCATTGCTTGGTATGCAACACGCGCAGGGAGTAAATCTTGTTTTTCTGTAATGAAGTAATCACCGGAGCCGTGGGGAGTAGGGAGACTACTAACGGGTCCGAACGGTTTAGCTGCCCTCGGATGCTGCATGCGCCCCTCGCCCACACACCCCCTCCTCTTCTGCGCGCCTTTCATCTCCTTGCTTCCCGTCCTAGGCGGCGGCGATGGTGCGCAGATTGGCGTGGTTATGTATCGGTTACGGTATCGGTTATGTATCGGCAATGGTTATCGGAATGTTATGCCCAAGTTTGCGGGTTCAAACCCGATCGACGCCGTGGATTTTTAAAAACTCCTTCGAACGCCTTCCTTCGGAGGGGAAGTAAAGCCGGCTGTTCCATGTTAGTAGATTTACTTACATGTAAAAGATACTCAAGCCTAAATGAGCTCAATTCCAATCGTCTGTTTCGTTGCCCAAAAAATACCTCCATTCCCGCTAGTTGGTGAAAGAAGTGTAGCGAAATTTGCGTAGTCAGACGGAAGAGCGGGTCTGCTGGCCCGAGTCTTGCCACGCAAAATAAGGCATTAATTCAATTCAATTCTACTGCGCGCATTTTATCTCCTTTCTCCGCGTCCTCACAATTTATCTCGCACCATACAGCCCTACCAACTATTTTTTTTTTGTTTCGAACGGACTTCTTCGGTATTGTCCTCACCTTCGTAGTTTCCACATTTCTATTCCGTATCGCCCTTTGCTGTCTTATTATTTCACTTCCATTTCATTACTCAAATCCATGTGCACGCCTTCCACAACAAACCATTTCTCCCACACCACTCTGTCACCCAGCCCATCCATCTCTCTCCACTCTATCCTCCACACTCCTCCTCTTCCCATATATCGCCACTAAAACATTACACACAATTTCGAATTAAACTCCTCGACCATCTCACACTATCCCCCAGGCACATTCACCTTCATGCATCCACTATTTACCGTCACCTTCCACTATCTAACTCAAGCTATTCCCTTCGCGTTATCTATCTTGTATACTCCATTCTATACTGCCCACCCTAGCAGGTGCACTATCAAATCCTCACTAATAAATCTGCATGTTTAATTTAACCATCGAATTCACTTCCGTGGACCTTACGCTCTTTAACTCACCTGCTCGTCATACATCTACTAACTCCTTATTCCTACCACCTCATCCCATTCCCACGCTGTCCGCTACAGTCATTGCCTCCAGCATTAAGAAGGCAGAGGAGGAACAAGGAACGCTTCTCATGCCTCAGGGAGTCTCGTCGTGGTGAAAAAAATCCAATTCAGAGACCGTTGAAGAGCTTACGGGAGACAACTGGGAAGCGAGGTGCATCCGTAAATTCACTGCGTGGCACATTGGTTGCGTTTCGGGGGAGTCGCGAGGTGTTTGCTTTCCTTCAGGATTAGGATTCCAATAGAGTTGTCGGAATAAATCTACGAGAAGAGAAAACAAAGATTCGTTTCTCAATGTTAAGAGGATGATTTATGTGTCAAGTAAAATTCATCTACTCGTATGCTACAAAAACGTTTTTTATCATAATTAAAAATCTGTAATACTTTTTTAGTAATTAATAAGATTATATTTTAGAGCCGGAAGCGAAAATTTCTATTTTTTCGAATGTTGCTAAACCCTCCTTATTGTTGGTACTTGTATTCATAATCCAACTATGTATAGTAAAAGGGTGTGTAAGAAATTATGGAGCTTAAGAAAACGTGCGCAGATTATATTTCACCCCCTTACAGTTTCGATTTGACGAAAATAAATCAAATCAAATGAACCCGGATAACAAAATTGTAATTGCTTATGTTTGCGCCTGTTATAAATACTAACCCGCCATACTCATGAGTTCAGCGGGCCCTAGAGACAATTTATTGTACTGGAATGAAAATGTATGCAAGAGTAATTGAAATCCACAGTTCATCAGAAGGAATAATAGCAATTTAGAACATACCAGAAAATATTATTTTTCTTAAATAGCGGATCGTAACTTACAGTTACTTCACTATTTGCTTTATTCAGAATTAATCATTGATAATATCTTATGTACATTACTTTGTGAAAATCGCCGTTCTTTGTCAAAAAGAACAAAATTGTTTATCTTAAAATTAACTGAAAAGTTTTGTTTTTATTCTATAAAATATTTAAAGAATGTTTATGCTAGATACTTTCATTTTACCACAAACCCAGGACATTTTAATCGTTAAAGTGCTGAATTTGTAAGAATAACATTTGTTGCCTGCGCTTTATGGTTAGGTTTCAGGTTATTCGTTTAGAATCAAAACAAATGCTCAAAAACCCAATTTCATTCGAAAATATTTAAATAAAACAAATATAATAATCTCATCACTCTGTTCTTATATGCGCAATATAATAAATGATAAATAAAGTATACTTTATTAAAGTTAGGTTTTTGAACTGTGATCATTTTTCTCGTTAAAAAAATACTTGCAGCTGAATTTGAACTAGTTGAAAATTTGTAGTGAAGATGGTCACGCAAAATCTTTTAAAGCTCAAGAAAATCAAGGTCAATCTTCAAGGGTGGTATGATTGGGTAATTTTTGCCTACTTCTTCGTAGCATGCTACTGACGCAAAAAATATCGAACTCCTGTCATGCGTTTGTTTGTTCCAGCTAACTCCTCGATAAAATGTTATATCACAAAACGCTCTAAACTGATTCCCCCAATTACGCCCAATCGATAAGTCGCGAAATCTGCATCGATCAGCACTCGCCAATACTAGGTTAAACGGTACCAACCAATCCTATTTACTCAGTTTAACGTCATTATGACGTGAACTCATAGCCGAGCGAATCGATTCGCTTTTGTTGTATGACGTCCCGCCTAATGGACAGGCGGCTTGAAAGGGGGCGCATTAGCTTCTGATTGCGTCCGCAACAAAGGCAGGCGCAGGCAAAAGGGAGGGCGCGAGGCGGGGGCCGCGGATGGAGGGGTGGAGGGGGAATCGAATAGGGAGACGGCGACGCTGGAAGCCGTCCCGCGCTGCGCCGCGTCTCCCCCCCCCCTCACCCAATTCACTCCCTCCCTCTTCACCCCCCCTTCAACGACCAGAGCCGCGCGTCGCAGATACGACTGCAGTCTCCTCGCTAATGCTACAAGACAATAGGGGAGATTTGTCATGCGAGGTTGCAACACGTTACAATGGCCATCTCCGGCATGGGACATATGAGACATTGCTGCCCCTGCTTTTTTCGTCATGGCGACCTCTCTACGACGTGGAGGACTATCAACGGAAGGGAAGGTTGTAGCAAAAATTTTATTTACGGAATATAATTTGCTTTCCGACTTCTCATTTCGGTCTACGAGTAACAGTATGTCATCGAGTAGCCATCACTGAGTAGATACTTCCTTACATATTCTAGCCGTAAATTAAGAAAGAAATTATAATTTCGGCAGAAACATGATTAAGAGTGCATTTGATTTGTTTAAGGCTTAAATGCAAAGCTTCGTAGTTTCAAAAGTTTATAAAACAGATGTGGTCTGGTATAAATGATGGATGCATTACTAATCTAATACAATAATATAATTATGATACCATTACTGTAAAAGGGTCCATTCGATTGATAAGTTTTATCAGATGACAACTTTTTTTAAATATTGAAACACACTGATATCAAATCCGCATCAATCATAACTGCAGTTACGTAATTTTTAGAACAATTAAAAGCTAAAAAATGTCATGTTTTACAAGTTAAAGTTTTAAGCATGTTAATGTGTTTATTATGTGCATAAACCTGTATGTAAAATGAAGGCCAATAACAATGTGTGGCGTTGCGTGCTGCAGGGGGTGACGTACCCCGCCTGCCACGGCATCTGGCGGTTCTGGGCGCCGCCTCTCGAGAGATCGCGTCTCGCCACCCTGGCCTTCTGCGGCTCCTACGCCGGGGTGGTCCTGGGCATGCCGCTATCTGGAATCCTAACCGGGGAGATCAGTTGGCAGGCTCCGTTCTACTTCTATGGTAATGTTTGCACTATTTGTGTCCCGACCTTCCTTCAGTACACAAGAGTGTTTCTAAAGCCACATGATGTTTGCTTCTGTTTTCATTGGTAGATCGAGTTTCTACGTGAAATTAGTTTCGTGTTCGGATAGAGATGATAACCGATTATCAAATAACTAATAAATAACACACTTTTCGTGTGGTGTTAAAGGAATTTGAACACGTAGTTGCAAGCCTCGAGTCTGATACGTCTACAGAGCTGGCACTACTTTCACAACGCGCTCGATCTTATTAAGGCCTACCCGCGACACTAGTCCTCAAAGTGTTTGTTCTCGTTGCCGCGTGCTTCAATTTTATTCGATTTATCTTCTATTGTTGCGAGAAGTTCGTTATTTGTGAGTTCTTAAAAAACATTTCGAATAAACAAATGTGTTTTAGAAAATTAAATTAGCCCCTGCGCCTGGAGCAAGAACACAAAATCATCATAATCCTAGTCATAGTGTTTTTTCTAAGTTGATTGGTTCCACGTACCGTGCCGTAGCCTGTCTTTCTGCTTCTCTATTTTCATAAATATGTATCTCTCGCTTCGGGTTGTTGTACTTGAAAGTTCTGAATGTGAGGGAAAGTTAGAGAAATTTTAGACGGTTTTTAATTAAACATATTGAAAGGAACTGCATATTAATCAGAAATCATAGTTTAAATTGAAGAATTTTATAAAATGTTCTTTTAAATTCGAAGGATTTTTTTACAACCTCACGTTTCAAGAACTACTTTTCTTACTTTCCATGAGAAAAAATGGTCCTTGAAACGTGAAATGTATCAAACTTCAAAATTAAGAGAACATTTTAATACAATTCTTCAATCTAAATTATGATTTCTGATTAATATGTGTTTGGTTTCAATACGTGTAATTAAAAATGACTGTCTAAAAATATATCTGGACTAAAAATATAAAACCAGAAATCTAAATGACAGTATGAGGATAATTGACAGTTAACGAAAGTCTTAACTTAGAGGGGGCGGACTCCATGTGAAGAAATTCTTGGGACGTTCGCAGGTGTGGTGGGCCTCATCTGGTATCTATTCTGGCTGTGGCTATCCTTTGAAAAACCCTCGAAGCACCCAACGATATCAGCCCGGGAGCTCATGTACATCGAGCAATCGTTGGGTTCATCGACTCTTCAGGCCATGCCCACCATGGCCACTACGCCGTGGAGGTCCTTTTTCACCTCGATGCCGGTGTACGCGATTATCGTGGCCAACTTTTGCCGGTCGTGGAACTTCTACCTTCTCGTGCTCTTCCAAGCTTCTTACCTTCAAAATACATTCAAGTTCAAAATTGCGGAGGTGAGTAATGAGAAATTGTATTTTGTTATATTTTGCGAGTAGACAATGCTCCCTGTAAATGGTTGACGCATGTCGCACGACGCACTTCACGATGATGGGGAAGATGCACTTTTTATCTTTAGAACACTCACTTACCTCCAGCTCTTTTTTAATCTCGCTTTCAGTGGCGGCTCTTTAAGGAGAGCTATAGTACTACAGAACTCTTAACCTCATTTATTATTTTTATTACTCTCAACGACTATTAATCGATGAATTTGCGAACCACGTGCAATCGAACACTTAAAAATTACTTTTTCACATGCGTTCACGATGTTGCGCCACGAGGTGTAGCTTTGTTTATCTCCAAAACCTCTATTCTTTTATTACTATACTTACACTGTACAATTCAATTACTGTCATTAAATTCTGTTTCTTTTTTTTCATAACAACGTTCTCTTAACCATTTACTGGCGTCGAACAGAAAGTAATCATCCGCTAAGTCAGTCGGTCATCGTCAGTTGTAGTCACTAATAGTCAGTCATTGCCTTTTTATCCCTTCGACCTGCGGATCGACGCCGTTAGATCCCCAGGGTTCCCAGAGATCACCCACCCAAAGACCCGTGGTGTCTCAAGTCGCTTAACCTCCGTGCCTCACGGGGCGTAGATAAGCTATTCTGCTACCGACATCGTTCTCTTAAAGAACTTTGGGGAATGCAGCTCTCTCAGAGTTCCGCAGCTCTTTTGGCTCACATTGTTCCCATTCATAAGACAATGTTGCCAATCCGCGTGATCACTTAGTTGTTTATGGCTTCATAAGTTTTTGTAATCTCCTAAAGCCAGGGTGTAAAAATGGGACGGAGAGCAAAGAAACAAGTGAAAAATAAACTGATATTATCTCCGAATCAAGTTTAAAATTCGAATTGTAGTATATGTATCAATACTGTAATTGTTGATTAAGCAATATATTTCCCAACCGACAAAACTAAATAACAATTTAAGTTTTTCAATTTAGCATTACTAAAATCACGAGCCGCCACTGCTTATATTTATATTTTACTTGATATTTGTAGATGACAAAACCCATATCACGCTTTCAAATTCGTTTTTTGTAGAATTGCAATAGAACCTATCTTAAAATGCTTGTACTTGTAGTGTGAATTTGCTTCATTAAATTTATGTGCTTAATCGCACCGTCCATATATGCTGTTCCCAGGATATCGCAATTCACTATTTCTTTAAAGCCCCTCGTCATGCCTCGCTTATTTCATTTCATAATATACTCCCCAAATCATTATGATAAAGGATGTTGTACAGAGTAAAACGACATTTTTATTGAATATAGATCAAGACTGTCCGTGCGTTGAACATTCTTTTTTGCCCTAGACGTTCCTTTATTTAAATGAGAAAGTCGCCGGAGTCATACTTCGAGGATCAACGTCTGAGAGTTTCTGAGCTTCGAGCAGCCGGCAAATCCGATTACGTCGTCTTACTGCCAAGCACGTTCCTTTCAAAATCCTGAAATAAAGTTAACACAAGCCAGGACGTTTTCTTTGAACCCTCTGATCATTAGCTGCCTATATATTTTGTACTATTCTTCCGGGTATTTTCCCAAAACCAAATCATTGCCTGGTAGTACTGTATTCCATAGATAGATTACTTCCCGAATGTTAAGTGTTAGCATTAATCGTAAATTGTAGCTATTCGATTAATCGTTCACATTATCCTATTTTATCATCTCAATCAAACCATTCTAAAGATGTTCTAGATAATAGTACTCATGATTTCACTTCAATTTTACTTATATTTATAATAATGTTTACCCATAAGTTATCTGTTTTATAGAAAACAAACAAAGGAAAGGAAAATGAACAAAAGGATCAATGATTATAACTTCCGTTGTAATTTTCCTAAAGGTAATAACAAGGCGATGTTTAAACAAATTAATTATTTGATCACAATATATGTATGTTCGAAAATGTATTATTAAATATCTCGACCGGAGGAGTCTAAATGATCTCCTGCGTTGACATCTACTCTCATACATGTCAATGTTGAAAGGAGATAAACTTCGTTTTAAAGAATAGAGAAAGAATTGTAATGTTGCAGCAAAAAGTAACGTTTTCTCGGTCCTCGATGCCGAAAAACTGATTTTTCTTGCTCCTGTGTGCGGTAAATACTTTCTAGAATACGGTTGTGCACTCCGAATCCAGGTTTTGGTGGTCCTCGATAAGGAAAAATTGTTTTCGGCAAAACGTCTGTCCGTCTGCGAACCACACTACGTAGTACCGAAACGGTGCATGGGATTTTCACCAAAATTGGCATTCCTTTATCGATATGGCTGATGTGGCGACTCCTAGAATTTCAAACGGATATTTTAGTTTTTGTTTCAACTTTACATGATGTCCATTGGCATCTCCGAAATTTTCTCAAATTTTTCTCTATTTTTTTCTATAAATTGTTTGCTTCAAAAGATAAATATAGTTTATAAATATTGCCGAAATCTGATTTCGATACAAATTTCACATTTTTCGACAATTACTAAAGTTTAAAAAATGTGAACATCATCCTACAAATACATTACTGAAGATAACGATTTTTTGTGAATAACATCTTACCTTCAGAATTTGAGCTTTAATTAATGTGATCTATATTTTTTCATTCTATTATTAACATGTGAAATTAGTACCACTTTTCTAATATAAAGAAAAAAATTATAAAAAACGGATCCAAGCTTTTCTGTAATTTTTGGCTTAAGTTGTGAAAATATTCCTCTATTGAATTTCCTTAATTAATAGCATATGATCAATTTTCATTAAAAACTGAAATCTCGAAAATTCTAAACGGTTTTTTTCTCAATCTCTACTTCACCTTCAATATCAAAGCTAGATATTTTATAATGCAATCTAATCCTCAAAAATACACGATCTTTAAATTAATTCCTGTGCACTTTTTTAAATATTACTTTTTATTCCGTCGTTTTGAATTTTCTGGTGACAATTTTTTTTGGAACCTGTCTTACGCCCTCAATTTTGAATTTAGTATTTCTTTAATGCAATTTATTTTTCATTATTCGACTTTTCAACTATTTCTTGGTGTGCATTTGCTGGTACATTTCATGTATTTACACTTTTTTTAAATATTAATAGATTTTGAGTAATTTTGAGTTGTATCATTTCCATTTTTCGAGTGAAAGCTGAAGTGTTATTAAAATAAAAGTTAGGAAGTTAATAGGACATATTATGCAATGCCGATACGTATAATAACAGCACGTTGCTACTACCATACATACGAGAAAGTATGAGTTGGTGTTGGTACAGGTGTATGTGCCCTACGATATGCATACTTACATACCAGAAAGGATGTGCTGATGAAGCATCACTAGTTTTATTACTTTTGTTGTTGTAGTTGTTTATTGAATTGTTTGTTTTTCTATTTCTCAGAACTTGAAACAACGCTCATTATTTGCAAACGTGTAGTAAGTAAATTGCCGAGGTATCATTTTAGACAGAATAATATGCTTTCACTCGGTGTATTTTTTCTCTTTCTTTCCTAAATCTTTCTCGAACGTCTTTTGATACAAACTAGGTCAGTGATTGTCAAAAGAGCATCAGTCATGGCAAAACAGATTTGACTGATGGTCTTTTCAAAAGTATTGATTCAGTTTTGCATCTACCCTTCTTTTTAACTTCGTTTCTGTCTCCACTGAACGCAACATTCGATTACTAGGAAATGTAATAATTCAACACTTAAGATGGGTTTTCAGCAGTCCTTGCAAAGCAAACAAAAATAATATATTATTTCTTCTGAATACATGAAGCTGATTATTCAATATCTAAAATTGAATAACGCGATAAGGTGTATAATTGAGATATTATAAATACAAATAAGAAATAATCCAGTAAATTATCACGCGCTTTGTATGATATTTTACGTGTTGAGATCTCCAGCATTTTGTGTCGTATATCTTCAAGCCGAAGTCCCAAATGTAGCTAATTTGCGAATAACACGGTATATTCGCCCATTAGCCGATTCAGATAAATATGTAAATATGATGAACGTATGATTTTGGGCATCATCCAGCTAATTTTGACATCAGCCGCATGGCGGTGAAAAGGTGATTGTCCGAGTGTGAGACGTCGTGTGTGCTTGAGAGATGTATGTTCTGTAAGAAAATGCATAGGAGATTATGCATTCCACAGACCCAAGGTTGTTTTATTGTAATCCCGAAGGCCGGAGTCTCGTCGACCCAATTGGAAAATGCCTAGCGATGCGTCAACTGAGATACATAGTGCGGTTAGATTAGGTGTTATCATGTTAATAGAAATTTATGATTGACACTGTGGAACGCGAAACTGCACAGCTTATCTCTCATCAATCTTAGAAACTTCCCATCTGCAATCCGATTTCTGTTTATCACAATATATCTGCTCGTGATCATAACGTTTTGCATAATGTGAAGATTAACAGCTTAATTCTCGAATTAGACAGATTCAGATATTAACCGTATTACTGGATAAAATATTTACCAGATGTCTATTATTAGAATGTGATCATATGAACTATTTTCCGTATATCATACATATCTCAGTCTTTACGGGACACTCTGATACGATTTCGTACCTTAATTCTGTCCTCATTCTTTCTATTTTAAGTTGCACAAATGATTGATTTGCACTTTGTCCATTCTTTTTAGATATAGTCCATGGATTGGTTTGCCTCTTCACGTTTTCTTTAACATTTTTTGTCTCACATTTCATGTTACGTAGCATCAGATTATTATGATGATGATAATTATTGTTGTTATTACTATTATCATCGTTCGACTGGCATGTCTGGTGGAAGCGCATGCCGACCCAACGCTGTCGGCGAGCGCCGTCCAACGACCGGGCCCCCGGGCCTTGAAGTCAGTTGCGAAGGCAGAGCGCGGCGCTGCGCGGCGCGGCCCGTGTGCTGAGCGCAGTGGCGAGGGCCCGCGCCGGCCGGGGGTGTGCTTGCAGACGGGGCTGGTGGGCGCGCTGCCCCACTTGCTGATGACGGTGATCGTGCCCGCGGGCGGGCTGCTCGCCGACTACGTACGCAAGAAGGGCTACCTCACCACCACCAACGTGCGCAAGCTCTTCAACTGCGGTGGCTTCGGCATGGAGGCCCTCTTCTTCGTGGTGGTGGCGTACGCCCAGTCCGCCGTCACCGCCAACACGGCGCTCACCCTCGGCGTCGCCTTCAGCGGGTTCGCCATCTCCGGTGAGACTCCGGTGATCTATTCATTGATTACTAGTGATTCCGGGCGACAATGACTAAGGTCGTTACTCCCGTAAGTGTCGTGCATGTTTTGCTCGGGAGGTGACGGTGATCTTTTCCCGCTTGTTAGCGAATTCGGGCGCCGACCTACCGTCGGCTAGCGGGTTTTCCCCAACCCGGTGTCTTCTACCAGCGAGACACCGCCCCAACCGGGACAAGCTCTAAACTCCCGACCGGTCTCCCGCCATGTATGGTAGTGCAATGCATGTAACTGTGTGTGTAAGGGGTAGGTTAGGATAAGGAATGGGAAGGAAAAATCACGCTCACGCTCTCACGCAACATCTTGTCAGATGAGAGTAAACGATTAAATCAAAAGTTTAAGTCCCAAGTAAAATCTTTTCTGCTGCACAACTGTTTCTATACAATTACAAATTATACCGAGCATTCAGAAGGAATGTAATATTAATTTTAACAATGACATTTAATGTATTATTTGCCATTTGGATTGTATAATTCTAAATACCCTGTAACAATTATTGTACTTCTGTTTCTGGGTCAATGACCCCCATTTCGATCAGGTTTTCGTCCAGTTTCCTGATCCTTGATCAAATGCTGAGATGGCCCTTGTTTTGTTCTGGACATAAGTGTAACTTGAAATTAACTTCTCGTAGCACGTCACACACAGTTTTAACTGTTTTTGACGTAAATATATAATATAAAAAATAAAATATCGATATTAAAAAACATCGCCGTTAATAAATCGATGTTTCTACAAAAACATCGATGTTTTGAAAACATCGACATCGATGTCGCATCCCTACGGCTCTCACCGCGAAGTTCTAAAGTTCCAGTCGCGATGGTAACAGGTTTCCACACTTGCTACATAGCTAGGTCGAATTCAGCCGCTGTCTGGAGGAAAATTCTAGCGGCCAATTGCTCTGATCGGTAGTTTTCCGTTGTTTGTCCGATCAACACATGGCGAATGCCGGAGCAGTACCTCAACAAACGGGTCATGGAACACGCGCGATCTTTCCTCCCTTTTCCTTGCCTTATCCTCGCCCCTTACTTACGCACGCTTACACCGACATGCACCACTTTATCACACATGCCGGGTGTCCAGTCGGAAATTTAGATGTTCTCCCAGCTGGTGAGAGATGGTGGTGAGAAAACCCTGCTAGCCGATGGGTAGGTCGGCGACGAATTTCGCCATCCACCAGGGAATGATCATCGCCATCTCCCGCGACGAAAGGCATCCACGACACTTTCGGGACAAATGACCTTGACGCGCCCGTAATCACTAATAATTCAATCAATGAATTCACTTCAAGTTTGTCGATGTTGATAGGAGCGCCGCGGTCTTTTTACATGGGCAATCGCCAACTAAAGCTTTGTTCATCCCATGCACGCCTCAATGTAGAGCAGGAAACAGTGGTTCACAGTAAAATGCGAAAGGAACAAAAATCGTAAAATCTGTTCTGAAGAAAAATCATAAAAATCAGCAATGTTCGAGAGTAAACCCGGGACGGATTAGAGAAGTCCTTCAAAACAACAGTTCTGATGCAACGTTATTTGTTCCTTTCGTAGTAGCTTCCTACTCTCAATACAGGCATGCATTTGTTACGAAGATCCTTCAATACTTCTTGCGAGAAATTTTACCGTCCATTAGAGAATGGCAGAGAGAAAGTCGAAAAGGTAACATTCAATCAACGACTCTCGCATTAAAAGGTAAACTACACCGGATACTTAAGTATCGAAGAGAGAGGGAGAAAATCCATGGTGAAGTACATAGGCTTCCACGGCCGGAGTCAGTACTCGTATAAGATAAATTTTCCGGGCTGGTAGGCCGTGGTCCAGTTGGCATTGAAGGGCCAAACGTTTCGTCCACGTCTGCGGTGGACATCCTCAGTGGCGGCAGGGTCGTGGGTACAGTGTTTGGGGCGGCGGCTGGCTGGCGACTGGCTGGCTTGTAGTGTTTGATTGAATGTGTTTTTATCATTTTAGCCCGTTTCACCCCTCATATTTTCCGAAAAATAGACTTTATCATTGTTCATATTTACCAATTTTATACATCATATAACAATGAAATTATGTGCAATAATGCAGGAAGACAGTGGTCATGACAATGAGATTCTTAAAAGAGAATTTGAAGTACTTAACATTTTTTTCATTTGGATTGCACCCTGTTAAAAAATACACCATCTCATTTCACAAACATTACTAACCCAATTAGACTTTTCTGAAAAGAGTAATGAAATGTTCATTTGTATATTATCCAAAGATAGTTATACCACCTCTCAATGCTGAAGCTTTGCGTTTGTAGACACGTATTTCCATGGCAACCTTTTGAACTCTCCCGTCAAGTGAAATACCCTTTCCCAAACCCTAGTAAAGGACTGTTACGTGTTACGTGAAAAACGTTATGTGATGCAGGTTTCAATGTGAACCACCTGGACATTGCACCCCGCTACGCCAGTATCCTCATGGGGATGTCGAACGGCATCGGCACCATCGCAGGTCTAATCTGCCCCATCGCCATCGACAACATTACGAAGGATCAGGTACGTCCAAGCGACATTGCGACATTCCTTTTTGACTTATGTTTTCGAAACTCTACGTGGATTTTTTGGCTCGCTCAAAAATGCGATTGATGGTGAATAATTTAAGTCTAGATTAATCTTCTATGTTAAATCAAAGATACTTATACAAATGTTTAAATTCTCAATTTTACGTCGGGTATGCGTTTTAAATTTCATGCTCGATTAAAAATGCAAGATTTTAGGCATCGCCGGGCAATGTGTATCATAGTCTTGATATTATTCTGAAAAATATAGAAAAAGTACGAAATATTATTTCGAATGAATACCATCTTTCGAAATGTGTAATGCCAGACTCAATCCCCAATGTTAATCAAGATACTGGTTTCCCCATTATATCTTTCGGCAATAACTCGCATTTTTTACATTCTTAAAAAACGTGTTAATTTGTTGCAGACGCGAGACGAGTGGAAGACCGTGTTTATTATGGCTGCAACAGTCCATTTCATTGGTGTCACATTCTACGCTTTGTTTGCTTCTGGAGAATTGCAGCCTTGGGCAGAGCCACCACCAGCAGAGGAGAAAACCAGTTGGAACCCACTGGAAGAGGCCTTCCAAGCAGAAGGAGGGTCTGCGGTACGTTCTTCGAATCCCGTAGATGTAGTCAGGTTACCAGAGCCAGATGTTTCCACGGCACGTTGCGAAGACGGAATTCAACCATAATCGATAATGCCGATGTGGGCCGTCGTTAAACAGTTGAAGGTATTGTAATTTCATAAAGGTATATATACTTGCAGAATTTCTCAAAACTTAACCATATCCCAACACTCTTGGACACGTGCACGATACCTTTGAGCAGAAAGCCGTCACGGTAAGGAATCAAAAATGTGTCAAGCACTGATACATTGATTCTCGTTCCTTCTCTTTCTTCTATCAATAACTGTAATGACGATTGTATTTGATCATTCAAATGTACTACTTCAGGTTCTCACAAATAAAGCGAGAACATTGCTTGTTCAAATAATTTTTGTCATACCTACAATATCTATTATTATCATTATTATTATTATTATTATTATTATTATTATTATTATTATTTTAGGGTAATTCCATGTCAACTGAGCTAGGCGCGACCACCTTGGCGACCATCTCGAATTTTGACAATAATTTTTATCCGAGTTCCAAAGGTGTCAAAGAAACTTTTTGTGTAGTTGTAGCTTCATAGGTGAAATAGTTATTTTTAAACATAGTGGTTTGTAAGAACTTGTACAGCGACGTTGTGCAGTACGATTATAAGATTTTCACGGTTTTGATATACAATATTGCAGTCCCTACTGCTAAACAAACGTAACTGACTTGTACAACTTTCTCCGTACTATTGAATCACAGAGTATACTATGTGTATATTGCAGCAAAGTCGCCGAAACACTGGTGTTTGTTCTACAGTTAAATACAGCTACATACAAACAACTAATAATTTTTAATGTATCAAATAAGAAACAATTGTTTTTAAATTATGTTTCCAAAATGTTTGGTTCATTTGAAATTCTGAGAGAACGCCAATCGAATTTGACTGGTAGAAGCTGGTGATTCTGTGCTGCTTTCTTGCCATCAATCTTCGGTCGTGAACCCAACGGCAACGAGATTGCTTGTTCAAATTCTGACACTGAAAACAATCATGGAAATTACAACTTCCGTCGATCATGGGGAAATCAGTTTCAAATGCAAATAGATTAAAATGTTGGAATTTTGTTTGTTAAATATCACACGCCACCCTGGCGATGGTTTCCAAATTTACCTCTAACTTGAGCCAATATATGCCAGTATACGCAAAACTTCAGGGGAGGAGATTGCCCCTCCCGATCTTTCGAGCTTCACTGAATTTTCATAATCATGTAAATAATAATATAAAACTTTAAACGTCTAAGACTTTTGAATTATTATTAAATAAATAGAAAAGTATGCAAAGGTTTTGTACAATGAAAAAAGATTCGAAAGATGCCCCTTTTGCATTCCACTTAAAACGGAAAAATTAATACTAGTCATATTGAATTGTGCGGAAAAATGTGTACAAGTAAGCTCAGTTTCACTTGTTTAGCAATAACGAAGACTGAATTGTATATCGGATTTGCGAAAATCGTGTAGTTGTACTGTACAACGACGCTACTAGAGATCGAACAAAGCACTGGATATAAAAAACTATAAGTCCTATGAAGCTACATTTGCACAGAAGTTCCTTAAAAACATGTCGGACCAGGCATGCAAAATATTATCAAAATCCAAGGCGATCGCGCGAACCAATTCTCCAAAATTAGCCCTCTCGACATGGGATGACCCTTCAATATTTTCTTTCAGACTCTCAAATAAGGAAATGGTCTGTCGTGTGGTGTCGAAACCTGCCTTGATTTTTTTTCCCCTCTCTCTAGAGATGGTTCATATGCAAAGTTAAGCTGCCGAAATATAAAACGATTTTCTACTCAGTTTTTACGCTTGAAACATCCGTTTGTATCGACCTGATCTGCCGTCAGATAGTGTAAGCATAGTTCACGCAGGCGAGCTGCGAGCTAAGGTGACTTTCTGAGAACTGACAGTTTACGCCACTCGAAAGAATCGATATTAGGAATTTTATAGCATAACTTCCAGTTTGTCTCAGCAATTAAACTTTGCGGGATATCAACATAATACAACAGACCATTCCCTTTGAAGGTAAATTTTGTTTCCACTTACCCACTACAACAGTATTCCCCTCACGCCAAAGTATTCCTATACATTCTCCTTTGTCTTGTCCATCCTATTCCTTACAAATACTAATTATTTTTTGGGGGTCTGCTCATTACTCAAAACCAATGATTTTCATAATCCACTCATTAAATTCGCAGAGTTTTTTTCTGCCTAACACAAACAAATTTTATTGCTCTGTGCTTATAAAGATGCTAAAAAACCTATTACCTTTGTAATTTAATTTTGGTTTCTAACATTGAACATTATTTTGAAGATTTAAATTGAAATATATATTTATTAATATTATTAAGTAATTAATGAATCACTACTGGATGTCAACTGATACATATTTACATGAAAATTGGCTAACTCTAATACAAATGATGATAATCGCTTCCCCATGATAATTTCTGAAACAATCAACATATAAAAATACTTGCTATTGTGACACATTAATTAAGGCGAGTATACAAAATGTAGTTGTATGCACTTTGGACAAACAACATTTACTTTCCGACATTCATACAGTGCATAAATAACTGAGTAAAATTAGTACTGTTAATTCTCTATATAACACTAAATACTTTACATTTTCTTTCTTACCATTTTATTTCTTTAAGTGGTTAGAATGAATTGTTATTTTTTAAAAGGAGACTGTTAAACAAAGCGTGTAATTTTTGGAACCAAAATTTAATAATTTACTAATTACTGTCTTATTTGGCAGCAAATTCATTGATCATTATGGAAATAATATCATTTACTCATCTTTCCTATTCTTTGCCAATTGGGCATGGGGTCCTGCAGGGTTCAATCTTATGCCCTATGCTCTTCCATTTATAAGTAAATGATATGTCAACCATTAGAAATGAAAAAAATGTTCTCTTTGCTGATGATATGAATATTATTTGCAAAAAATAAACAATAAATAGTACAATTTTAGATTTTCAAATAGATTTTGTAATTAAAAATTAATAGGAAATGAAGGTAAAATGGGTTCATTGTAGTTTTGCATTTCAAAAAGACAATCGTGTGCTCCATTGAAAATGAAGGATTTTCAATTGGCTGATGTTAAGGTCACAACATTTTGGGGTCTCTCCATTCAGCCATACTTGAACTGGAATATCTAAATAAATGTAATGAACCCTAAATGAAGTTTATTATCTGAAGCATTTAGAATTCTTTCAAATACAGTCAGCCTTCATGCAGCTCATTGCATGTATTTTCTGAATGTACTTTCCACCTGAGAAATGGCATAATATTCTCAGGAAGTACATTGGATACAACTATTGGATGCAGACTTTTACACTGCACAAAAAATTAATAAATATTAAACAAATGCCATTTACATGATTCCTTGAAGTATTTTTTTATTGATTTTGGAATTTTACCTTTTCTTTGCCTATTTATTAGTTATCTGAAGTTTTTGTCAAAATTGACTTACATAAGGATGGGAGCATAAGTTCATACAATACAGATATTTATAATTATTACCCATGATGTAGGAATCTTATATGTCATGTGTCAATATCAACTCACTACAAGAAACCCACATACAATATGTGTATGTTAGTTTTCAAAACAGTGCCAGATGACATTAAAAAATTAAAATCAAAATACAACTGTAAGTGCCAACTAAAATCTTTTGTGCTGCATAACTCCTTCTATACAATTAAAGACTATACTGACCATTAAGATGAAAAGCAATATTTATTTTAACAAAAATATTAAATAAATCAGTTAACATTTAAACTGTGTGATTTTTGAAAAGACTAAATATGCTTGTAATAAGTAATGTATTTCAGCTTCTGAGTCAATGACCACCATGTCGATCAGGTTTTTATCCAGTTTCTTTGATCTAATGAACAAATGGTGAGATAGGCCTTGTTTTAGTTCTGGTCACAAGTGTAGCTTCATTATGTTCATTTTTGTTGAGCTCCCCTTCTGCTAGTTATGGTAGTGTAGTGCTGGGGGTGTTTGCTAATTTTTAGCAAATGAAATCTGCAGTTCATTTATCAATGCAATATTTTTTTCTGTAACTCAGGTGCAAAAATTTCTTATCAACAAATTCCGATTTTGATTTATTTTGTATCATTATTAAAGAAATTATGATGATGAATGTAATGTGAAAATACTAGTTAGATTTTCAAGAAAATAATGCATTTTAAATGTTAAGGAAGTATGTGGTTTTGCAGGCAGAAGGAATATTTTATTCACATAAAGAAATATATTTTTCAGTTAGAAGTAGTACAAATGAACCCTACTCACTGGAGATTTTCATTAACACTGTTTATGAAATTCTAAATTGATACTTTTCAATATGATTACTAAGTTATTGGCAAGATTTCATAAAACAAATGTCTGTGACATCCTGCCTAGAAATAAAATATGCTTGTAAAACAATACTTTGAATACATTAGTGCCCCATTTCTTTCATGATGTATATTGTTATTAAATGCCTTTTATTTGCATTAAATGCAATTTTTGCATTAACTTTTTTGAAGCTCTGGAATAGTGAAATATTTCAAAGAAAATATTTAAAGATGTAATTTGTTTCATTTTCCAGAATATTCACAATATCATTGCTTGGTGAAATTTCCAATTCAAGAGAACACTTTTTTATAAATTCATGATAAAAGATTACATTTATTTTAAAACATGAAAATACAACATTGCTTCCACATAAATTAAAATTTAAAAACACTAATTATAATGCTAATGTTTTCACGCATTTACTAATAATCTGAATTAAGAATTTTTTCAGATCAATTCATGTAAATTTAACATTGAAATATTTTGTTTGCGTAGCATATGTTGTTATTTTTCCTCATTTAAATGTCCATATATTATCATTGTATTTATGAGCAAGGTATTTTACTTCCTTACACCTATAAATAAATGAAATGGTATTTGTAAAT